GGATTTTTATTTATAGATTAATCGGCTGAATCTCAAAGATCATTTCGTATTAGAAAGTGATGCCCTCAGAAAAAAATATTTATATCAGAAAAATTTTATCGGCTATTAATAGCCGATTAACCGTTTAGGGGATAATGGCAGCGCCACAATCTTCGCCCGTTTTAATTAGTTCTAACCAGCCACAAAAAAAATGTGTGAAGAAAACACAATTAACTAGTATGTGGAGAGTTAGATATCATTAAAATTTAATAGATGAACATGATGAATTTGCTAAGTTCCAATAATCGAAAAGAGAAAATCTTTAAACAAAATAACTCTACATGTAACCTTTCGCATAATAATTTTCAAGTTATGAATTTAACTAAAAAAATTCATTGAAATTTTAAATTTACATTTATATAATCGGTTTAATCAAGTTATTGGTTCAAATCGTTCGAATCGCTGATAGTTCGAATCAGAAAATTTTTTGACTTATGATTTGAATCGGTTCGAACTGGTTCGTCGTAAGCTCTAGTTCAGTCAAACTAAAAATTTGGCACCCGGTGAAATTTTTTCAATTAAATAATCGGTAAATAATCGGTGAATGTTATTTTGACAGATATAACCACTATTCAGATTTTAATTATTACATGTGCAGTGGTCTAAAGGATTAACCTTTATTCCCTGTGGCTCAAATAGTGATTAAGATTAATAATATGACAATTCCTGAATGAAGTGTTTTACTCATATTAATATTGGAAATATAGTAAAAAAATTGTTTATTTTCCACAAAAATCATTTGCCACCACAGCACATTTTAAAATTATATTGGTTGGCTAGAAATTGGTGATTTTTGTGGAAAATACATGTTTTATAAACTTGTTTGCTAAAAATTTATTATATGAAAACTAGTTTTTAAAAAATGCATACTAATTTATAATCAATTTTTTTTTAAAAAAGGACACGTTTAAAAAAAAAAGAACAAAAAATTTTATTATTGAGCGCTTGGTGTTGTACGGTTTTTTCTTAGAAAAAAAAATTTTAATTCGCGTCTGTTCTTTTTTATTTTTGACAGGGTTCGAGATGACAAAATATGAGTGTTGGTATAGTTTTCCTAAAGAAGAAGTGTTAAGTGTTAGTAACTAACCAGAAGTACTTTTTTTTTTGTCTTTTTTTAGTTATTATAAATATTTTAATGAAATCAAAACGCGGATGGGTAATTAAGATTCTTATGAAAATTGTAGATGATTGGTATCATAAGAATGTCAAAACAACACACTATTGGAAAAGAAACAATTTGATACGTAATGTTTGATTATAGAAATTTACTGACATTGAAACATGCATGCTACCTTGAACATTTACAGTCATTCTCGCTCTCCTTGTATGCACAAGGCTAATCTGACTGCAAGGACCCCGACGATACAATTATGCAACAGAATTCCAGGGGGGTCGGACCCTGGATTTTTACAAAAGACTGCATCAATTGTCAATGACGTTTTCACTAATCCTCACTCCCAATATTCAGACCAGAGAAGGTTCCTGGCATGTTAGACAAAAAGTTACCCTATGTTGGAGGATTGTAGTTCAACGATCCCCATAAAATTTTTTTCAGAAAATGTATCAGTATCATGAAAATGATAATGACCTGAAAAATTACATTCCGTACATTTCCTGTGGATTTTCCTGTGGATGTTAAGCATTGGAAAATGCACAGGAAAGTGTAGGAATGTAATTTTTCAGGTCATTTTCCGAAAATTCCGTACGTATTCCATGCATTTTCCATGAATATTATGACTAATAATATTATAACAGTAATTGAAACTATTCGCGGCAATCGTAGTTATTTGCACTAGCCGTATTTATTTACGGCAAATGGTAGCTACCAACAGCTATTTACGACAATGGTAGCTACCAGTCTAATCATTTACGGCAAGTGCCTTTACTTGAAAGCTATCTTGAATATTTTGAAGAATTAATTCAAACTCACATAGGATGTTAATTTCATCATTATTTTGATCAACCCAACCAGAAATTAAAGGTTTTTTTATTTTTCAATTCTTGTTCATGGATCTTTTCGATAAAAGTCTAGATTGCCATTTACCAGCGAAATGATATTGAAGAAGCTCTTCATATATATTTTTATCAAAAACCTTTTTATATGGTTTAATCATAGAAATTTCTTTCACTGAGCCTAATTAATGTAAAGCTCCAAATGAGCCAAGTTGAGTTGGCTCAAAATTTAGTATCAATTTTTTTATAAAATTGTGATTTTGCAGGCCATTGAAAATAAATGAATAATTATAAAAGTAAAACAATAATAAAAATTCTTTACTATAATGAAGATGTATGGTGCAGGTCACTCTGCCAATTTTGAGAATTAAAAATGCAATAAAAATTGGTTGGTCATGTGATATTTCCTACAGTATAACCCTTGTTTCAACGGACTTCGTCTCAATGGGTTTAAAAATCTTTTTTACATTATAATTATAATTATTATTATTATGAAAACATATAAAATCCGTTGAAACGCGGGTTAGTAATTTCATTTTAAAATTTTAAATGAAATTTTCTTATATGTCCAGCCACTGTTGAAACCCGAGGGTTATACTGTAGTCATACCATAAATAGTAAAATCGGCAATAATTATTAATACTTGTGTGCCTGATTTTCTTAACCAAATAAAACTAGGTAATAATTAATCACAATGGATGAAAAGAAGTTTTTTTACTGAATTTTATATTTTGGCACCTTGACAAAATTGATTTAAAAATGCTCCCAAATTGGATTTTCTTATCATAGAATTAATTAATCAACCAAGGATGTAGTAATATCTCATTCTAATCTGCTGTTATTTTAACTCGTCTTCACTGTTTCTTTGATGAATGGGCAAAATCATGTTCTAATATCTCTCATGCCGATTTGTTAGATAGTTATATTATTATCATCAACAGCAGCAGACGCTAATATTAGGTTATTAATCATAATCTTTGATTACTGGACTTAAGGAAGGAAAAAAAAGAAAAGGCAACAATAAACTTTTGTTTCTTTGTTTTATTGTATTGTTACATGGCAAAAAAAAAAACTGTAACCAATAATCAACTTATAAACAACAAGGTAATAAATTTGTTTCATTATTTATTATTCAGCATTACAAAAATGGAAATGAATTTTTTTTTGTATATATATATAGGTAGGTGAATTACTTTCCAGGTTTAAAAAGAGAGTTGTCCTAATACCAAATACAATTAATTAAAAATATATATATTTGTTATATTTATATATTGATTATATAAATACTCCATCCATATATAAATATACATAAATATATATATTTTTAATTACTCTCATTCTTCATTCTAAAAAACCAAAAGGAAATCGCAGGTCGATTATATACACATTTTAGTTTTAACGACTACTACATTCCTTCTCTTATTATTATTAAAAACACCTTTTTGTTACTTTATACATATACATTTCTCAATAAAAAAAATTTTCAAAGTTAAAATGGTTTCAGCTATCAATTACCTTAAAGCTAAAAAACTCGACAACAACAAAAACAACAACAAAAACAACAACAAAAACAACAACAACAACGACAACAACAACGACAACAATAATGATACTTATCCAACAATAACAATAATTGACTCGTTGAATGTTACTAATGACGA